ACAGTTTTGACCGAATTTATGTGAAACTTGGTCAGTTACATCGTTGGACCATGCCTCATATAGGGTGTACACAGAATTTAGCCAGTAGTCACCTAACAATCTGTAAGGGTCATTTTATGAAACAGTTAAAAATGCTGTTTTGCACATTAAATGTTTGCAGTCCGGTTCAGTGTATTTGTCTTTCTTTAAATTCTCAAATTCCATGTTCCTGACTTATTTGGTTGTCGAGTTATTCCAAGTCTATCTTTTTTGAAACGTCCGAAAAAAACAATATAAAAACATAGGAATTCTGGGAAGGTTTCAGTGAGTCCGACGGGAACGATCGACCGATGGTCCGGTATTTCTGAGTCCAGGAAAACTAATACGTTTGATTACATGAAATGCTGGAAGTTCAATGTTGCTGATATAATCGAAAAATGAGGATTTTTATCAGAAAGTGAGAATGGTGTCGGCTGTTTGTTTATGGCGGGCCCATAATCAACATCGCGGGTCTGTCAATAAAAAGTGTCTACATGATTCTATGATTGCACCATATGTGACCACATCTAGGGCTATTCACATTATACGCCGCGGTTTAATATCCACAATATGGCGGTCCAAAGTTCAAGTGCGCTTTATGCTGCAGCACGGAAATTCTAAGAACATCCCTAAACAATGCGCTGTGCAACATAGATGTAAATCCCCAACATCTCGAGAAAAAAAAATCGATAAGATTTAGAGTAAAAGACAGTAAAACGGCCTAAAACAAAACAAATCAAGGTGAATGCTGATTATTTATTTGTTTGGCCGTGGAACAATCTATAAAGAACATTTCTCATTTATTTAAAATGATTTCACTAAACATGCATTTATGGTATAGTCCGAAACGAGTCTTAAGCACAGGGTATTTGAGGATGAACGAGCTCCTTTATGTCTTGACGTCTTTACTCGTGACTGTCAAAACAATAATCAGACTAAGTATCATAATATGGAGCATTCAAAATAGGCGTGTATTTAAATTTGGGACGTCTCTATAGTCCGAAGTACCATTGGTGCGAAGTCCCATTGGTCCGACAGCTCATTGGTCTACACGTTCCACTGGCATAAACGTCCCGTTGGTCTGACGTCCCATTGGTCCGACGTCCCATTGGTCCGAAGTCCCATTGGTCCGAAGTCTCATTGGTCCGAAGTCTCATTGGTCCAATGCCCCATAGGATTAGGGTTAGGGTTAGCCGGTTAGGGTCAGTCAACCTGAACTAGTGGAACTACTCAGTATTATGTTTTGTCTGACCAATGGGACTTCGGACCAATGGGACTTCGGACCAAAGGGACTTCAGACCAATGGGACTTCAGACTATCGAGACTTAACCCTCGTAATAATTGTATTTTTTTGTCAGGTCGGGAAAGCAAAAACGGAGCAGTCAGGGGCAAATCTTGCTTTCAGGAAACGGTAGGAGGGGAGGGTGATGTGAAAAAGGTAAGTGTGTGGGGGGGGGGGCTGAGTAAAGGCTTGGGAGATGGTCCGGGGGAACTTCCTCCAGAAAATGTTTAAATATACAGTGTTTTCTCATAGTTAGTTGAAAGGCAATGTGGGTATAAAGTGAGGACGTTTGATTACATTTATTCTTTTGGCTCCATTTTTCTAGTATCATGACATCAGTGGTTGAATGGGGGCGGGGCGGTTGAATCCCCGCCCCCTGTATCCGCCAATGACAGTGCGAAGAGTAAATCATACCCGGTCATAATTCAGGAGAATGAATGTCACATTATGTTAAGTTCCAATGTCAAAACATTTTTCCCACTTCATTCGTGTTCTCGCTATTCTAAATTTTTCACAAATACCATGCAAAAAAATACTTGACACCTTAAGAAAGTTATAACTGTGATTAAGCCTCAAGAAATATTTTTTTTTGTACACATTACTATGAATCCTACATGTGGCTCATTCTGGGTAATTGCTCATTGGCGACTGTCATGCACGAACAGAAAACTAATAATGAATACGTAATACAAATATTACGTCAAATGCTCTCACTTTAGCATAGTGCTGGATATAAGATGACGCTCTCATGAGCAACAAAAAAAAACAGAACCGTCAGAGCCTAGTACAGTCTCGTTATAATTTCTGTTAGTGTAACTTTGGCCACATTGCGGCTAATTCCATGGAAAAAACAATCCTTCAAAACCAAACTTGTTCTTATTATAACAACATCAGCATGATTAAGACAATTACTGTTAACAGGCCTCACGCGTAGCAGCCATCTTAAAGGGCAATATCGTTGTTTTGTTTATGCATGAGTGAACCTTTTGTGTATTCATTGTTACTGAAGATGGCCTCTCAGATGGCCGCTACGCGCGCATAAGGTCTATTTTGCAAACAAACTATCAACAGTACTAAATTAACACTTGTACAGAAATAACTTGAAGATATATCATATATCTAGCAAAGGTAATGTTTACAACAAAAAAAGATTCTCAGCAAGATATAATTTGTATCCATTTGTGAACACACCTTTTCACCACTTTGCAGATTTCTAAATCTTTAGTTCTCGGCCCTCTTGTTTTACTTTTTTGCTGGGTACTAGCAACAAGAATACTATACTAACAGAAGCTCCCTACATGCGTATTTCAATGTACGCTGACGATTCCATCGGCAAACTATAGTCGCTGCTCGCTAATAATTTATGTCCCGTTGCATTCTTTAAGGGGAGGATTCCAAATTAAACAAGCGGTAACTTAAAGTAACTCGAGGTTGAACCTCGAAGCAACTCGGGGTTGGACTGCTATGCATACACACAATACATTAATGAATATTCGTCAAGAGTGCTGGGTCACCTTTTTTCTCAAACGAGATTGGACAATATCAAAATAGGACGCTCTCACGGCGTTATGCATATTCATGATGTCTAGGGCTTTAGGGAATAATTTATATAACAAGAAATGATGTTGTTTAAATCACTGACGATTGGCAGCTGATTGTTGGACTGGTTGGAAGTAGTCCTGACTTCTAATCAGGTGATCCGAGTTCGAGTCTCATGAGCGTTTTTCACTTCTTCTCATTTTACCTTTTAAATAATTAAAGTGAAGAAGGAACATTTCTCACAAGACTTAAATCCTATCTTGGGTTTGTGTTGTGGAGATCAAGGCATTAGATATGCATGTGATGGACCAATCAGAAGATGGGAAACGGATGTTGTTTGGGGAAGAAAAAAAATTCGCCGGCGGGCGTGTTTATTGCCAACAAAGGAGCCACCAGATAGACGAATGTTTGTGAATGGCCGGTCCATGATCAGTATTCACTTTCTACGCCGCGCGGTTTTAGCCTATTAATACATAGCTGTCCAAAGGTCATGTGAGCAATATGCAGCACTTGAATTCCCGAGAACGTTCCGAAAGTATGTGTTGCAACATATATAGGTGTAAATCCCCTACTTCGTAAAACTGTCAATACGATTCAGAGTAAAAGAGGGTCAAAGAAACACAAAGTAGTGTGAATGCTGGTTATATTTTGTAGCCATTACGAATGATGAGGTTGTTCTCGGCGATAAAGGGGAATGATATAAAAAAAAATACGTTCCCATTGTTTTCAACATGTTTTTTTTTTTTTTTTTTAATCGTTTGCACTTTCAGTCACCAGAAACGAAATGTAATGATAACAACATAAAATGAATGACAATAGACAAATTCAATATAAGTGAAACGCAGCTCTGTATCTCAATGAACTTTACCTTCAATCTTCGTATTTCTATTTTCAAGGGTGTTTGGATCATGGGCGTCGGCGGCATTTTTTCCGGGGGGGGGGGCGGGGGCAAAGCAAATTTCCCCCCAAAAATCCTTAACTTTTTCATTATATTCTCAATTTATCATTTTTCTGAGCGTGAGCAGGGGAGCATTTGTCCTCCGTCCCCCATCAAATTAATAGCAATATGGCTTGCACCTCTTTTTCCTTTTTTTCCCGTTTTCCTTGTTTATTTATTTTTTTCTTTTCGTTTTCCAGGGGGGCACCCCTCGCGACGCCCATGGTTTGGATACCTCATACATGAGCAAACCATTTGACCCGACAACTAAAAGAATCACAATTGTACTAACGATTACAATTTCATTAATCAATGAACGGTAAGGCGAAGTAAAAAAAAAAACACGTTTCTCGTCCCCGCCCGCTTCCTTTTTGGAGGCCGCCCGGATTTTTTTTATTTATTTTTTTGAAAAATGTAATAAAAAACACCCAATAAATCCACAAATTCATTGGAAAATAAGAACAAATACCAACACAACTCTAAATGACACTGTAAATATGTTCAGTTCTCTTGTCCAACTTGTCTTTCATTTTTAAAAATGTCTTTGAACAGTGGAACACCAACGGTTGCAGGAAACTTTAAAACGGCGGCCATCTTGAAAAAAAAAGAAAAAAAAAAAAAGCCCCGCTTCCTCCCTTTTTTCAAAAACCCAGGACGAGAAACATGTTTTTCTTTTATTCGGCCTAAAGTATGTCAGCAAGTGTATACGGTACTTTTTCAAATGAATGCTTGTTGCCGTCCACATAGCATTCAAGCTTATGGACATCATTTGCCTCACTCAAAATATTAACAATACACTAACGTATGCAGTATTAATTTGCATGCATGAAGACTCCCACATACTGATTTCAAACTGTCCCGGCTATCGACAAAAGGTGTGCTATTTGTTCTTGTCTACACAAACATCATGTGGAATTCCCCACCACGTGCAATCGGCAGAGGCCCTATTGTGCGCACACACAACCAAATGCTGACAATACGTGACCTCAAGTTCATTTTACGCCATTCATGTAGCCATGAACTTTCGTTTATAAATCCAAACTTTATAAAACCACCAAAAAGCATGACACTTAAGTGTAATTATATGTATTTAAATACATGTTCACTGAAACTGAAAGTAGAAAAACAAAAATGGGTTATTTCAATAATTTCATGAAAACAAAATTTTCTTAACCACGTAGTAAACAAAATAGTTTACAATACTAACTATCTTTACGACACCTCCCATCAATTTTTGTCGAACCATTTGTAAATTAATTAATAATGTCGATGTTCGCTAATAATTTAATGCTCCATTTCCCGTGGCATTCTCTTCCTATATACTGAGGTCATACTGAGGTGGTCCACGAAGCGGTTGATGTAACAGAATCATCGGGTTGAGCGTTGGAACTTGTCATGTAGACGAAGACACCTGTTCATTAAAAGAAAATCGAAGGAATTGCTAGAAAATTGCTAAACGATTCACATATCATTAAAAGTACGTCATCATAACCAACTACATGTATTTCTATAATTTGCATGAACAAATATTTGGGCCCCAAAATGTCTGTCTTGTGCCGCGCCTGGTGATATTTTGCTGTCCTAGAGGGCGCACTTTCTTCATATTTGTGTCTCACTGACTACATGACTCTTAATTGAACTTCTTGTAGGCTGATGAACAGAGCCGGGTAGGTAAATCTGGTCCACCGCGTTAATAGCGGAAGGTTTTTTTTTAAGCGGATATATACCCCGCCCCATTTGTTCAAAATGATGCATTCAAATTAACAAATGGCTGTCCATGTCCTCAAGAATGAATATTATGCAGGACAATGTTACAAATGGCTGTCAACCCCTCCTTCACTTGAAAGCCACACTCCTTGAGCCAAAGCGGGACTCACTCCTGATAGTTATTCAGAATTTATTGAATAGAACTGTGTGCGTTCTGTATAAGGAACTGTATAATCGTGCTAATAATGGACGAGGCGAAGCTGAGTCGATTATTAGCATGAATCTACACCTCCGAGTCTATTCTCTGACTTCAACAATTCTTAAAAAAAAAGGTTTATCCAAATGAGTCCCATGCATCACCCCACTCTCCGTGTTTTTGAATAAGTGTACTTTCGAAAAATTACTTATGCGTACGTATTAATAGTTAATGTACACGTTTATGTCTCACAGCCAAAAGCAAGTCAACTTATCAATTCATGTCATTTTGTGTTAATATCCATTTTGATGTATTTTGATAAACAGCCACTTAAATGGCGATTACAAAATCTTACCAAATTTCAGAATGATTCTATAGTTCGCAACATTATCGCTCAATTTGTTTTTAGCAGTATAATAGTCGCAAAATGTTTACTTAATTCCGGAATCCACAATGGTACCTGTGCTTCTGGGTTTGTTACGAATCCGAATCTACAATTTGCTGTAAATTCTTAACGAATATACAGCAAAATGTAATATATGATCGTAAAAATAATCTACACATTAAACAATAGTATGACATCACCAAAAAAAAAAGTTTAACTAGCTTGAAATACTTACCTAGGGCAGCCAGTATAACCAAGATAACAATTATCGTCAGCTTTGCAGCCTGCGAACTGTGGGGTTTACCGTATCGACAAAGATTCACGAAATGCTCGCAGTTGTTGTCTAAGAAATCGTACTTTATCCCCTTGTTGTCCCGGTGCATTTTCTTGGCCTTTTCACTGATGGCTTCGGAACTGCGAAGTTGTCTTTCAGAGTCTCTTGAGTTGTTAATCCTCACCTTGCCAGAACCACCGAGAATCATCCAAATCGTATCAGCTCGTATCTCGGGCTTTTGGCTGGCAGATGACGCACTGCCTGATATCTTCTTTTTGGAGAATGCCGGCCCTCCTTCGAACATGCCGAAATGGATGACAGCGTGTTTCATATGATGGTATCGACCGACGTATATACCCCAGTGTGCATACAAACCACCGGCGCGGTCGAACTCCAGCCTATCACCGAGGCATACTTTGTCTTCCAATTCCATGATATCCGGAGGTGAAGGCAAATGCCAGTTACTCACGAGCTCAATATTGTTGTTGTTCGCCATGTCCTGCATGTTGTCTATTGCTTCAGTTACTTGAGTATTGCCCGAGACGAGGAAGGCTGATGACGCGTCTGCTCTCACAAGAAGCCTAACAACGTTGAGTTCAACACTGTCGAGAAAGTGGGGATTGCCATGCTAGACCGTTTCTCGCTTCCTGTACCTGTGTAGCCTTTAGTCAGGTCCCACGCGCCTATACCCGGACCATCCGGACACGTAACGCAGCCTGGATGCTGGCACGTAAAAAGACTAGCACGAGCGGCAAAGCCGCAAGGGCCTTTACTATCTCGTGGAACTAATCACTTATTCATTTATTCACGTAATATCAATCAAGCAATATAAACCAATCATCAAACGGTGGTTTGCGGTTACCAGCAACAGCACGCGCGCCATGGCTGTCTGGCGCCAGACGACGGCTGCTCGATTTACGTTAGTAATTCTGCATTTTCATTGGTCAATTCACAACGGGTAATGCATTATGCATGTGTCTACGAAATCGGTAGACAAATGTAAAGAAAAACATAAGCGTTCTCCACCAGATGGTAAAGGTCCTCGTGGCTACGCCGCTTGTCCTAGTCATTTTACGTGCCACTGTCAGCATCCGGGGTGCGTCACGTGTCCGGGTAAGCGCGTGGGACTTGACTAAAGGCTAGTACTTGTGTTATCGAATGCTTGTTATTTGTGGCGAGAATCGGTCTATGTTCCGCATGGGTGATCTTTCAATGTCACGCGTGATCGTTTCTATTGACTGGCAGGAGTGAGGCTGTAACTGCGAACGCTCAAAGTTATTTTGGGCACCGGGGAAATTTGGTCTTTTCCCTGAGTGGTACATCCAGGAATTGTTGAAAGGGGGTGGGATTGGGGTTGGGGAACTTGTAGTTGAAGTGCACGATTTTGCTTTCAAGCCGATGGATAGATGAGATGTGATTGTGTAAATTGGATTTGGGTGAAAAGGAACCCAGGCCATTTAAGCACTACAAAACGAATCTTCCTATAAACTCTCCCTTAGTTCTGAAGACTAGTTATTTGATAACTGTAAATTTGCGTGCATAAAAGGCTTCAACCGTGCTGATATCAAATTGTCCTGGTAATCGACAAAAGGAGAGCAATTTGTATTCTTGTTTGCACACATATCATGGGAATTCCCCTACATCTGCAATCGGCATAGACCTATTTTGTGCACAGCATAACTTGTATGTACACAGACACAATTAAGTGCTTACAATGAATGTACTTGACCCATTCACACCCTTCTCGAGTTCATTCATGCCAGTTTTCAAAGGTCTCTAACTGTCGACGATTTCCTATTAAACAGGTTTGTGTTATGAAAGTATGACTTATTTACTGCAGTGTCCGTGTTTTCACTCATCAAGTGACGGACTCATACGGTCCTTGGAAACAATGGATGAATTTACTAAAACATCTATTAATTTAGGTTTGCGAAGGGAAACTTTCCGGTATCGAACTCTTTTGAACTCGATAACAATTGTAATAATTGTACCCGGCTGACCACTTTATAAATGAATGTCATTAAAAGCCTTGTTAGAATATCATTGTCGCAGAACTATGAACTGTCAGTGAAAATAATTAAACGCATATTCGTCGTTACCTTTTTAGTGCAGATATTTTGCACTTTTTAAAAAATTCAAGCAATCACATTCTGTACAGATTTTTTTGTTGGCACAACTTCACAATGGATCTGAGGTCATTAGGTCGTCGTAAGTATTTACTCATTGGTGATTTTTAAGATGATTAATTGCAAATCTGCAATGACAAAATCAACCAAAAACTAGAAATTAAGACTTTTGAATAATTGTTTTACACATATTGTTATTATTCTAATCAGTTAGGGTAATGTTTACACAAAATAGGGGCCGAACGTCCTTATTTACATCAGAATTTATCAAAATTGAAAAAATCAGCAGCAGATAATCAAGACTATGTATACAAATCGAATTGGATTTGAACGTTTTTTTTATAAGAAAGCTTAAATCCTGACGCTGAAATGCTTTCCAGAAATAGTTTCACTGTGATTGTGACTTTTAGCCTTCCGACAACGTGTCTTTTTTTTTCTTTTTAATGTTCTATAATTTTTTTCCCTTCCAATAATTCTTGTCAATTGTCAATTTGATTGTTGACTTTCAGCACTAGACAGACACAACACAACACTAGCCCCCCGCTTTTTTTTTTTAACTTTATAGCCCGGTTCTGTGTTAACTTTTTTTATGTACTAATTGTTGTTATCCGTACGACACTATCCTTAAATTCTCGTCGACTGAACCACTGACATAATAATGATGTCGCTGTTCGCTAATAATTCGGTGGGTCATTTCCCGTGGCATTCCCTGCCAGCTGAATTACGGTAGCCTTCCAGGAGTTTATCTGCGATGAGAGTTGGGACTTATCATCGCGGCGACAGCAACTGTAAATTAAAAGAGAATCAAAACGATTTGTTAAAAAAAGCTAAAACGATTCACATTTCATTTACGTCTTTAAAAGCAACCTTTTAAATCATTTCCATCAAGGCATGTTTTGGCCTTATTTCCTTCTTAACGTGTCGTGCTAGAGATGTTTTGCGAGTCCCAGAGGGCGCGTCCAGTTTCATCTTTGTGTCTATATATGGCTGTATCACTAGCTCTATGACTGTCACAAATTAAGAGAGCCAAGCAATGCTGTGAGATTTCCTCATATGTAACGGCAATGAATGTGCTTACTCCGTGCCAGTGTGTAAATCGGACGCATGAACAATTTTCAGCTAATACCCATGGTGGGATCTCTAGGAGTTAAGGGTTGGTTGAAGGGGTCTGACCCCCATATCCCCCTCCTCCCTTGGCCGCAAACATACGAAAAACATGTTGAACAAAATTTAATGTATCTTATGCCCTATCCGCCGAAAGTTACCCCTTGAGCCGAAGCTGAATCGCCACTCATGTTTATTCAGAAATAAATTGATTAATTGAATAGAATGATGTGCGCTCAAGGACCACCTTTTACGGGCTTGCCTTGCTTGTGTTCTAAAATGTACCATTGAAATTGTGTAAGAGAGCTAGCTCTCGATACTGACCTGCACCTGCTCCGATCAAACCAAGGACACCGATCGTCAGCAAAGCGTCAGTACTCTGATCACTGTGAGGTTTGTCGTATCGACAAAGATTGACGAAATGCTCGCAGTTATAATTGAAAAGATCGTAATTAATTGGCGTTTTGTTTTGGTGCAATTCCTTGGCCACTTTGATGATGACGTCGGGATCCAGAGGCTTAACTTGCTCGTCTCTGGAGTTGTTGATCCTCACCTTGTCGGAACCGCCGAGAATCTTCCCAATCGTGTTAGCTCGTATCTCGGGCTTTTGACCGGCAGCAAACGCACTGCCTGATATCTTCTTTTTGGAGAATGCCGCCCGCTTGTCGAACATGCCGAAGTGGATGACTGCATGCTCCATATGTTGGTATCGACCGACATATATACCCCAGTGCGCGTATATGCCATTGTCGATCTCCAACCTATCACCGGGGCATAACTCATCTTCCAATGCTCTGATATCCGACAATGAAGGCTTATGCCATGCACCTATAACCCCAAAATTGTTTCCCATGTCTTCTGTCTGTCAAACGTTTGATTCAGTATTTCCAAGACGAGGATCGATCGCACGAATCGCACTAAGTTCAATGTTGCTAGGATAAACGAGAAATGAGGATTCTCATCAGACAGTCAGACTGATATCAACTAAACATGTATTTTCGAATACTTGTTTATGATGGGCCCATAATCAACATCACGGATCTGTCAATACAAAATGTGCTGACATTGGGCCAATAATTGCACAATAAGCTAATTATATGGCAATTTATGTTCGCTGTATACGCCACGGTTTAGTATCTATTACTATGGCGGTCCAAACTTCGTAAAAAATATAGATAAGATTCAGAGTAAAAGAGGGTCAAACGGGCACAAAAAGCAGTGTGAATCACGGTGATATATTTGCAGCTGTAGGAATGATGAGATTGTTTGTATCGGCGATAAAGGGGAATTAAATAAAGGAATGCTCCAGTTTGTTTTCAAATTTCAAAATGATTTTCATCAGGGATTAAGTAGTAGTATTAAACTCAAATGTTAATACCGCAGACTGCAGACTGAAAATAACGAGACACTTTTTCACATTCATTCGTTTTTCTCTATTGCCACATCTTTCACAATAACGACGCTATTATTTGACAACTTTAGAAGATTATTGCTGTTACTAAAACTCAAGCAATGGTTTTCCTACTAACTAAAAATGAATCTTAAATGTACAGCATCCTAGGCAATTGTGTATTGGTGAATTCACCATAAACTAATAATGAACAAATAAAGTAATAAAAGCAAACAAAACGATTATAGCTAATAGCAACCAAGAACTCTGAGTTATAAACGCAACAAAAGCATGATAATTTAACATAGTTCTTCGCATAACGTTTTCGTTCATGAGCATAAAAATGACCAAGGACTTGAACAAATGGAAACATCTGAACTAAAAGAAAGACACATACGGGCACATTTCGATAATTCCCTGCTAAAAATCCTTTAAACACACTCCTAATTCAAAAGGACAAAAAACAATTATTTAAAATTTGCAAACACCACAATCAATCATACTAAATTAAGAAGTCTTATAGAAACTATCTTTCACATATATCTTTTTACAGCGAAGAAAATGTTTACGCACAAGTTTTAATCAAGATAAATGTTTGACCCATTTTATCAAACACCAGACGTTTTTCTCCGCATCGTAGATTTCTACATCTGTTATATTTTCAATAGGATAAAAAATTACACGAATGGAATTGCAGTTCTATTCATAAATGGACGATAAATCAAGTGCGTGATCTTGAACACCTTTTGCCGTCCAAAAATATTTAAAATAGGCATTCAAGGCAAGTGGACATCATTTGCTAAAAAAAAATGTATCTTTGCCTATTCAAAGAACAACAATGCGAAGTTTTGATTTAACAAATAACCTGTCAAAATTTAGCTTAGTAGATTTCCACAGATATTGTGAAAAAAATGTGTGAATGTATCTTCATTTGCTTTTTTCGACGCAAAACAAGGTTTCTATTGAAAGCCCTCCCTTCCACAACATGCTCGGTTTTGACTTCCCCCCTTGTGGTATGATCCCAATCTGTCAACCGGGAAATTGATTCTTACGCACCGCCGACACAAGTCACCGATTGTAAGCTAAACTAAATTCGGTCAATTAGGAACAGTGTTTGACAAAAGTAGTTTGTCTCGAGATGGTTGAGTCCTGATGGGGGGGGGGGGAGGGACTGGAGGGGAGGGGAAGACCCTGTTGCTGAAGTTAAATATTATTGCTCTCAAGGCCAAGAGTGGATGGGGAGTGATTGTATAATTTGCATTTGAAATACCCTCTTTGAAATAACGATACAAGGAAAAGCAATTGGGGTCCTTGTTTAGAGGGTCCGACGGAAACGAATGGACTGGTAGTTCGGTATTTCTGAATCGAGGAAAACTAATGCGTCTGATTACATGAAAGGCTGGAAGTTCAATATTGCTGAGATTATCGAGAAATTAGATTTCCTCTCAGAAGGAGAGACTGTTGCCCGCTATCGAGTATTTGTCTATGGCGGGCCCATAATCAACATCGCGGGTCTATCTGTAAAAAAAATGTTTACATTGTTTCTATGATAATCATTGCATCATAATGTTATGCGGCCACTTCTAGGCCTATTCACTTTTTACGCTACAGTTTATTATCCACAATATGGTGATCCAAACTTCATGTGCGATTGTTACAGCACTGAAATTCAGAGGAGTTCAGAGGAGGGTAAAATGGCAACAGCAACAAAAAGTGAAGAAAAAAATCGGTGTGAATACTAATTATATTGTGTAGCCGTGGAAATGATGAGGTTGTTTATCTCGGAGATAAAGGGACCGATTTATAAAGAAATGTTGTTTTTTTATTTACAAAATGTTTTAAATTAGACTTAATTTAAATGAAATGTTTGAAAACGCAGCTCTGTTTCTCTTTGAGCTTTACTTTAAATCTTCTTTTTGCTATTTTCAAGGTTGTTTGGATACCTGATTGGTGTTTGTGCTATTTTGTCTGTACAGGGTGAGTAAACAAATGTCCCTTTCATCTTCATCATCAAGTTGACTCTCGTCCGACATTTGGATCTTGTCTCCCAGAAAAATGAGAAAATATTACAGTTTAATTGTTTCAGCAAACAATTGGTCTGGGTATTGACTACGTTCAGTAAAATTAACATGCCATTGTTATTAACGAGCAGCCAAAAGCATGATAATTTAGCGTTGTTCTTCGTATATCATTCGATCATAAAAACGAACAAGGTCTTGAACCAATGGAAATATCTGAACTAAACAAAAATACGTACATGGGCACACTTCGATAATTCCATGCTAAAAATCTTTAAAACAGACCTAGTTCAGAAGAACAAAAACCGATTATTTAAAATGTGCACACTATCACACATTATCAATCACACTAAATGTAAAAGTCTTATATAAACTTGCACATATATTTTATACAGCGAAGTTAATATTTATACACAATTTTGAAAACAGATAAATGTTTTGACTATTAAATCAACTACCAGGCTATTTAATCACGTCGTGGATTTCTACATCTATGTCATATTAACGATAAAAATACGATAAAACTTAATGGGATTGCAATTCAATTGAAAAAAATAAACGGCAAACTACAATCAGGTGCATATAATTCTAAATGTAAAGGTAGTGGACATCATTTGCAAAACAATGTATTTTTGCCTGTTCAAAGAACAACAATGCGCAGTATTAATTTAACAAATAACCTGTCAGCATTTAGCTTAGTTGATATCGCTGTTTTTTAAGAACACTATTTGAATGCATCTTCATTTTGTTTTTATTTTTCGACGCAAAGTAAGATTTGCGTTGACAGCCCTCCCTTCCACAACTTGTTCATTAATACGTTTTTACTTGCACCTTCTTGTGGGAAATTGATTCTTACGTACCGCTGATATATGTAGCCGGATTGCAAGTTAAACTAAATTTAGTCAATTTGGAGAAGTGAATGACCAACAAAAAAATTGTCTCGAGATGATTGAGTCCTAATAATCATCGCTAGGAAATGATGGGAGGACCTTGTAGCTGAAGTTAACTTGTATTACTCTCATAGAGGATGGATGAATGAGATGTGATAGAGTCAGTTAGATTTGAAACAGCCTCCTTGATATATCGAAACTAAAAACTAAATAACTCGGGTCCATTTCATAATTCAGTGAGTCCGACGGGAACGATCGACCGGTGGTCCGGTATTTCTGAGTCCAGGAAAACTAATGCGTTTGATTACATGAAATGCTGGTAGTTCAATGTTGCTGAGATGATCGAGAAACGAGGATAAGTCGACTATTTGTTTATGGCGGGCCCAAAATCAACATCGTGGGTCTGTCAATAAGAAAGTGTCTACATGACTCTATGATTACACCATATGTGGCCACATCTAGGGCTTTCGCATTATACGCCGCGGTTTAGTATCCACAATATGGCGGTCCAAAGTTCAAGTGCGCTTTATGCTGCAGCACGGAAATTCCAAGAACATCCCTAAACAATGCGCTGTATGTAATGCAACATGGACGTAAATCCCCAACATCTCGAAAAAAATGTCAGAGTAAAAGAGGGTCAAACGGCCTAAAACAAAACATATCAGAGTGAAAGATGATTATATAGTTTTAAGCCGTGGGAATGATTTTGTTGCTTATCTCGGAGATTATACATGAACAATTATAGAGAACATTTCTCATAATTTTGAAAAGTTTTCACTAAACATGCATTTATAATATTTTTTATGCTATAATCTGAAACGAGTCTTAAGCACAGGGTATTTGAGAGTGAACGAGCTCCATTATAATATGTCTTGACGTCTTTATCCGTGACTGTCAAACAAATAATTAGACTAAGTATCATAATATGGAGCATTCAAAATAAGCGTGAATTCGTTGTAATTTTTACCTTAGTCGTCCAACGACTAAGGTACTGTATTTCAGTTGTTTCTATTTTCTTCTTCTTACCTTAGTCGTCCAACGACTAAGGTACTGTATTTCAGTCGTTTCTTTCTTCTTCTTCTTTCCAATTAGTGATCAAATGCGGTCACATGATCAAATTTATCATTTTTTTTTAAATGGCACTTACTGATAAAGTAATCAGCCCATTTCAAACAAACTTCGTCAAATGAAACTTGGACACGTGCCCTTCCTAGCCACGTTCATAAAATCTCGCCAATAGTCATTTGATGGTCACTTGTGGTCATTTAATGCAAATCTACAAAATGCTTCTTCTCCCACAGTTTTGACCGAATTTATGTGAAACTTGGTCGGTTACATCTTTGGACCATGCCTCATACTGGGTGTACACAGAATTTAGCCAGTAGTCACCTAACAATCTGTAAGGGTCATTTTATGAAAAATAAAAAAATGTTGTTTTGCACATTAAATGTTTGCAGTCCTGTTCAGAGTTTTTGTCTTTCTTTAAATTCTCAAATTCCATGTTCTTGACTTATTTGGTTGTCGAGTTATTCCACGTTTATCATTTTTGAAACGT